AGCTACTAGTAACAAGTGCATCGCTACTAGTAACAAGGGCCTTACTAGTAGGAGCAAGACGGTACTAGTAACAAGTGCATCACTACTAGTAACAAGTGCCTTACTACTAGGAGCAAGAATCAAGCTTCTAGTAACACGAATATTCTAATTCTTGGTGTGGAGGACTGATGCAGCTGAATGTTACCAAACTCTGCACAAAAGGCTCTTGGTGACCAAACTCTTATACAACGTGTTTTGCAAAGCTGCGTTAACATACAGTCTAGGGACAGAAGGGAGTTAGGGTTTGGTTCTTTCATGCCCTTCAGCTTACTATGTGGAGGGCTTTGACCGTGAACACTATCCCTCTTTTAACGTGTGGCAGTTGAAGTGAGGGAGCCCCTTCAGGTACGTCCAGGATCCCCCCCTGTGTCCTGCACTTCTAGAGTCTTGATTCACGGAGGATGATGCAAGTGATTGTTCAATCGACGTCATGTTGAACATGATGTTTCTCATGATGTTGCTGTCGCCCAGATGCCACTGTGCCGCTGAAGTCTTTCCTGGAAGAGCATGGGATGAAGCCGAAGGAGCGGTTCTATTGCTTGGAGGGTGTGTTCATCTTCATCGGCTTGTCAGGACCTGGAATCTGTTGAGCATGTGGAGAACATGCTGCAGAAGGCCAGACAGAAGTTGGTCAGCAACTCAGAGGGTCGGTGTGGCTGAAGCCATCCCCGGTGGGTCTATGTTTGCTGGTTGCTGACTTTGTTCTTGTTGAACCTGCTTGCCTTCCACCTCAGTCCGCAATTCCACTTTCTGGAGCTCTTTAACTGAAACTTGCACAAAGACAGCATCAAAACAAGAACACACCATGCAGCTTGTGCCTGTACCGAGCCTAGACTAGCTGAACATAATCATAATAGTGTATCTGCAGCTAATGTTTGGTGTCTCCTGCTTTTATGCTTATCTTGGCAGATTTATTGTTTGGATTGTCATCGTTTTCGAGGCACTAGTCACGCAAGCCACATCCTAGCTCCCTCAGCATCGGATTTCAGAGATCGGGACAATCTCACCGGAACTTGGGTCGCCCGAGCGCCAAAGAGCGCCATGCAGCCTGGAGAGAGCGTGGTGCCCATCCTGCACATTTGTGTGATGGGAGCCTCAGGGAGCGGCAAGACATGCACCTGGGCTGAGATTTCGCTTTGATTTCGAGTCTCAGCGGAGTTTTTAAATCAAGTCTTTGAACGACTCTTGAGGATGATTAAACCTCCTGTAATGTAACTATAAAATGACTAATTATATAGATAATGTTATATAATAAATGTACAAAAGAAGCTAGCGGTGCCTGTCGTCAAAACCGTGTCCCGAATGGATGATGCGAATTTGGATGTCACAGGCCTCATCAACTCTTGGGTCAACAGCATAGTGCCCAGTGATTCCTGGATGCAAGCATTATGGGCAACACTTGGGCCACGACACCTGAGTGCATACATTCAACATGTGTTTCAGTGCTTGGTTTGGTCCATGCTTGACTGTTTGGATGAGGGGGCGTCTTTGTATCAGACCGCGGGGGGGGGGCATTTCTTGCCTAAGCCGAGGTGTACATTCCAACCACTGAGACGTGTCTTGGCAAGGTGCAGCTGCTGAAGTCTAGAATTCTTTTCTTTGGCGCTGTGCCAGCCACCTTATGCACAGTAGCAGTGCTATTTATTTTCAATGCGAGCTTCGTGCAGAGCTAGTGAGATCAGCCCAGGTTTGTGCTCAGCAGACACGAGAGTAATTGTGGACATTGCAAATGGGTTGAACTTCAACCAAGGACCAAATACTACAGATCAATGCTGCTGCCAAATGCCCTCCACGATGGCCTCATGACTGCTGTGGGGGGAGCAGTATTTATAATTGCCGCAAACCTTTCGTCACCCATTCCAGATCCTTTATTCACCAGAGAGCAGGTTGACGGGTTCGTGATGTTCATGGCGCATGTCGGTTGAGATGTGTGCCTTTGCTCCTAATAACGTCCTTGCTCCTAGTAGCGATGCCAGGAGCCCGTAGTAGCTTTTTGTTCCTAGTAGTAAGGCCAGGAGCCCCTAGTAGCGTCCTTGCTCGGTTATTTATGGTGGACAGCAGCTTCTCAAGGCGAAGCCGTCACTACCCTCGTGGAGGTTGAGGAAGCCGCATGGCCCCAGGAGCATGAGCCGGTGGGTGGGCAGGATCTGCAGGAATTGAAAGTACACGGCTTTTGGTATTCCGTGCTTTTGAGCTTTTGCTTTATTTACTTGAGGTTGCTTGCCACTTCGAAACTTCGCACCCCGCACTCCGCGCAAGCGCAAGCGCAAGGCGAAACGCACGAATTTGAATGCAAATATATAATCACAGGAGCGAACATGCTGGATCCACATTGCCGTACGCACTAGCACTGAGCGGCATCCGAAGGCTGTTAAGACAAGACATATTAATCTCAAGCTGTGCGAGGACATCTTGACCGCGAGAGGTCGCAATATACAATGTCACACTTAGATAGACAGCTCAACGGATCGAGCCTAATTTCAGAAGCTGAGTCACGGATGCATTAGCACTTTTCTCTTGACTGCAATAGACCTTGGCTGAATCAACGGCAAGAAGTGAATGGTCGGCAGAAAAATTGGTGTGACAGCTTCAAAACGCCACAACTTGACAAGCAGGTACGTCAGTTCTGCGTCCAGAACTGATATCCTCACCATGTATTGCCAGCTTCGTTGGTGGAGAAGCAATACAG